CTGCTTATTCAGTATATTCACTGCTGCCCTCCATATCTGCAGGTTGTTTCTTCCATCCACAGCCTGAGAATGTATTATGCTGTGGTGACGGGGCGTGAAAGAGTTGAAATCTTCCCTTCTGTTCCACCTTCATTTCAGAACACCTAATGTAGTTGCGTACATTTTTGTTTGAACAGTTACTATGTCCAGAGTCACAACTAAATATTAAAATTTTTCATCTCCTCCATACCTGACATGCATGCATTCTATGCCAGTTATAAGTAAAAGTTGTTTCATGATCCTTTATGTAACTGTGGTACAAAAAAGTGCTTGAAAAGTCAATAGTTTCAGCTGATTTGGGAGTTCTATGTTTTAATGGGAACAGAAGTCCATGATGATGTTCACAAAGGCCTGCCACTGGGTGCTATCTGTCTGATCAATGTCTAAGTCTCCCAACTGGTCTGTTTATGTCATTTCTCGTCTTGTATTACATAACCTTGCATTTTATCATCCTAAAATAATGAAACCAATAATTTATCATAATCATAATTGTTAGCAGAGTTGTAAAACAAATGAGGATGAAACTCTGCTATGGATGAAAATTGTTGAAGTTGGTCTGGGTTGCAACACCGTGTGGACATGTAAGTGCTTATTAATATCTCAGAGGAATATGTTGCCTCCATCTTCAGAGCTGAAAGTTCACATGGCCTTGGAACCCAGAAGACCATTACTTAACTTCACCACTGTGAGAACTTGTAATCTCATGGGTAAAAATTGACATGTTTTGATTTCTGTAAAGGACTAAGATAAATGATTACATCACCAATAACTCTTATAAAAACAAAATTAAATTGCAGTAGAAAAAATATATTGGAAGAGAAATTGCTTTATTAAATTCTGTTCGAATTTACATTTAGCCTCTTAATGTTGTGCCAAACATAAGATTAAGCTTGTATGTATTTAATATATCTTATTAAAATGGTATGGAAAACTGGATCAGGTACGTAAAATGTTTTGTTTAAACTTCAAACTACCATTAATCTTTTAAAGATTTCAAACATAAGACATATCTTATGTGTGAAAGTTGGAATACTTTTACTGTAAAGAGTTTGTGTTCCTTTGTACCTCTACATATGTTTTCATGTGTATTTTTAAAACATTTTTAACATATCCATTGCTTTTTAGCAAGACTTTTGTGAAAGGAGAATGGTGCTTAAGTAATGTGATTTTAGTTGAATATTTTTTGTAAGTACTTAATTGTGAAGTAATTGCATGGTATTTTGCTGCAGTGCATGATTTATGGGATTATTTCAGTTAATTTAGTAATTGAAAATGATGGATGTATTTGTGTGTGTCAGTAGTTGATTTATTTATTTATGCAGGATAATGTATTAAATGTCATTGTCAGTTTCCATAACAATTAAAATGAAAGTAATTGTATTGTTCACTGTCATGAAGAAATCTGAGAATTTGGGCCTATCATTTAGTAGAACAGAGGTGTAATCTAACAAGACACTTAATTATACAGATACAGGTCCACCTGGTACTTTGTTTATTTGTTCAGACAGTAAGCAAGCACTAATACCTACAATACAATATGGAATGGACAAAATAACTACAAACTAACTGCCTGAAAGTGTGTACTTTTTTATGACCAGTATGTGTAGTAATACTGAACATTTGAGATAACATTAACACTTTAAAATTTTCTTTGTATCTGAATTATCCTTCTTCAGGCACATTCACAACAAAGTTCCAAAAATGCTTCTTTAGCTTTATGATACCTATATGTGTCAATTCAAGAATTGTTGAATGTATTTTCATGAAATTTTATACTTTGGAGTGATACTAAAATTTGTCTAAAAATTCCATTTTTTGCTAAAATCAGACAACAGTAATGGTTACTTTGGGTTTATGTGCACAGAAAATTACCTAGAGAAATTACTCAGAGGAATCCCCAGCCAGACAGGCTGCAGATTTCCAGTCAACACAAGCATGTGGGTGTATCCCCTGTTATCATCACTCAGCCAGATAGGTGCTAGGCATCCTGCCCATACAATGGTAATTGACACAAGACTACTATTGCACCAATCTATGTACTTCCACTGCTTATAAGATACATTCATATATTGAAACAGCAGAGGCAGTAACAGAGCAAACCTACCATAATTGTTATGCTATGCCTATTTTTAAGAACCATTGTATGTAAGAATGGACTGCTTTCAATTTTCTGCATACCATTAAAGCTTCTACAAAGTGCAGTGCCAGGTAGCACATCAAATTCATATTGCAGGCTTACATTTACTTTCAGAGATATGTACCAAACTTTAATTGCACAAGTGTAAAGCTATGGTAAATCTAGAATGTTACAAATATTAATACAAGTTTTGGGAGGAAGAAAATTGAATGCACCCTGTTGCCAGCATCTGACCCTATAAGCTATATTTACTCGGAGAATATTTACTTTACTGGATCACTTATCAATGTAGTGTATATTCATTTTCCTCCACAGAAGGGTATCCTTGTATTTCATTAGTTATAAGGAACATTGCACACACACCTTTTGTCATGCTAGATTGATGTTATTATCATGAAGAACTCCATTGTTGACAAAAAAATGATCAGGTATAGGGCACCATGCATCAGTGTCTGTAACTGTATACCTGTGTGTGGTTCACATTATGTATGAGTGTATACACATATGGAAGACAGTATATCATAATAATATTTATTTAGAAGCATGTTAAAAGTTCAATGAACTGACCTGTCAGTTAAATTTTATTTACTCTGCAAATTTGTTTTTGGATTTTAATTGCACTAAAACCAAAGAAACTATTACAAATATGCAATATACCAAAAAGTGTACCTTTTTATTAATTCCTGGAATTTTGCTTTGCCTTTTCAAGCTTATTTTAGATTGGGATAGATCTTAGTGTCACTGGATTTCTGTCTTTCATATTACTAGCTTATCCCTTGTATCATACGACAGGAAAAGACTATTGTTTTATATGTCTTTTGTATATTAGGTGTTGATATTAGTGGTTACATTTTTATTTTGTGAAATAAATTACATTTGTTCCACATGTTTACATGTTCTTTTCCTGATGCAGTGAAGTAATGTCACTAACTGAACAACAGATTCTTAATATTGAATTATAATATTTAACATTAACGATGTAACAGTTTTGTGAGTGCAAAGTAAAACGTCTAATTCTGTATTGTAGGCCAATAAAGAGAACAAATGACTGACATAATAATAAGGTTTTTTATATGCATTTCAAATTATGGTCCTTGAAAAGTAAAATTTCATATTTATTGTTCTGAACACATGCAAATCAGATTCTCCCTAAACAGTTCCTGTCATTACACATAACATGTTGCAGAATAAAAGTATGATCTTTCATTGAATCAAATCCATTATCTCTAAATATCTGTACCACTATAGTAATAATATTTTGAGTTTTGTGTAACTAAGGTGGTTCCTAATCATATTTCTCTCACTGAACACATTTTTCAAGTTTTACTGCCAGAACTGCTTTTTTCTTAACACATTTCACATTTTTAGGTCATCTGTGATCTTCATTGCCATGCAAATCTCAGACTGTTTGCCTAATTCTTGTCAAACTATTCAAACAGTTTTAATTGAATCTGTAAAGGGCTAAAAGCCATGGTTTGAGTAGTCGACGATGGCATAACGTCCTCAACAAATTCATTCTGGAGTTAATTTTGAAGTGTGTGTACATAGCAGGGCATGGATGAGTGAATGTTCTTCTGCTTCAATGCACAGTTTCTGCAAAGCAGCATGTAAAAATTAATTAATGTGTAGGAGAGAAGTAAATATTTGCCTTTGCTTCATTAAAGAATATAAATCGATTTACTGTACCAGAACCTCAAGTATGATTTTATCCAAGTTATAACTGTGCTGCACTATTGTACATGACTTAGTAAATTTCAGCCAAACAGCATTACCATGGCGACGGTAAGTATAAGTAAAGCTATCCCACTGCACCATGTAGACACTTAGGGGAAGAGCACAAATATTGATCAGATTTTAGCAGACAAAGAATGTACTGTGCTGAGACTTACGCCGTACCATACCGATTTAAACCCCATTGAACTTATTTGGGCAGATGTAAAACATGGGGTTGCAAGCAAGAACACAACAATTAAAATTAAGGACGTCGAGCATAAGTGTCGCCAGAGATTTGAATAAATTGGGCAAGAGTAATGGGATAATATATGTCAGCTTGTGGAAAAACGAGATCAAATTTATTATGAGCACGAAGGCATAATCGAAGACGCTATTGAACGTATTATAATTGAAGATAATGGAGTGAACAGCAGCAGCGGTAGTGATGAATCGAGTGATATATCAGAAAGCGATGGTCTGTGAGGAGTAGAAGAATTGGAAGAGGACCGAAGAGTTGTGAAGAAGATAAAATTATCTAACACTCTCAGCAGTGTTAATTTTCTAGTGATGTGTAGTGTAGTGAAATCGACTATCCTGTGTTACATAACGTGGTGATATTCTATTTGGAGTGTACTGTATGCGGCCTGCTGCCATCCCTTCCAGCAAACTTCTGGTCACTGACTCGCTCCAAGGTTCCAATTCACAAAGTTCAGCGGCCAAAAACGCTGGAACGCAGTATACCCACTGAATAGGAGACTGGGTGGGCCCCAGGGTCGGTTTGGACGCAGAGACTAGGAAAAAATCATCCTCACCTATCACGGATGGAACCTCAATCATCCAGCCTTTAGTCTGTCACTATATTGACTGAGTTACCCGGCAATATTTTCCCTCAAAGCCCAAAATGCCTAAACATAAAATGATTATCATACTTTGGTAACTGTAATAACACACGCATATTCATAAATATTATCATAGAAGGCCAAGAATCCCTTAAAATAGTGTATGAACATCAACTAAGCAACAGTGCTATTATTTGACAAG